TAACTGTCAGAAAGTGTTAGCAAACCATCATTATATTTAATAGCTATTTGGAAGGACCTCTAAAGCGTTGTAACCTACAAGGCAGTGTGGACTATCTACAAAATGCACTGCAGAAGTTCAAAGATCCTTAGAGAACACCTTTCAAATCCACAAACATTTCCATTTAGAAGGACAAGAGCAGCACATACATGAGAATGCCACTACTTGCAAGCTCTCCACTACCCTGACTTGGAAATATATTGCCATTCTTTCACTGTTGCTGGGTCAAAACCCTGGAATTCCAACCTTGAGGGTCAACCTTCAGCATATGGATTGCAGCAGTTCAAGAAGGCAGCTCACCACCATCTTCTCAAGGGTAACTAGGGACCAGCAATAAATGCTGGCCAGCCAGCAATGTCCACAAGTGAATAAAAGGCAGGCTATGGACCAACAGCTGAACAGTGGGATTAGACTGGATGCCTTCTTGATGGTTGACATGGACACAATAGGCTGAATTACTTCCCCAAACCTTAGAGGTAAAGATGTAAAATAGAAGGTACGTTTCATTCTTCAAATAGTTATGGAACAATGAAAGATGACAAACAGGTCACAAGAGTCAGCCACTAGCAAAGATCCATGACACTTGAAGGTGATTTAAAAATTGCAACTTGGCTGGCAGCAGAGGGTGGATCAATTAAGCACAGACTAACTAGAAATCAGTCTCCAAAGTGACCTTAAATGAGAAGCTTTATCATTGTGAGAAAGGAATAAAGAAAAACTCAAGACATTTGAAAAGAAACAAAGAAAATCCTCCGCATACATTAAAGACAGGGATTAACTTGAACACAGGCGTGCAACTAAATGGCAGTGTTTTTATCCTGGGGTGTAAGGTTGACTGCTGGTGGGAGAAATAGAATAAGGGAACTCTAGAGAACTCAAATAAAGTTGAGTCGTCAATTGATACTCGAAACAAATTATTTGAAGAAAACACTGGACTTAAAAGTACATCTCTCTTATAGGATGCTGGCAAATTCTTTTCTCTCATGTCTTCACACACACATCCTTTCATTACTCCAAAAAAGAAAGGCAATGGCTTCCCAAGAATTCCAGTTAAAAAAAAAACAAATCTGGATGTATCGCATATTGTCTGTGGACAAGGAGCATAACATAAAACTAATCTAAGCTCGCTGTAAAACGCATAAGGATAAGTCAGGCTATCTCATGCTGTTCACTGGCTCATGCTGGACAATGTTTCTTTACTCTTCATCAATGTTATCAGAACGCTGCTGCAGAGTACAGCATGAAAATTCTAACATGTTCTCACATATAAGTAGGATAATCACCATAAATTCCATTATAATTTATACAGCTTTGTTGATTTTGCTAGGCTGATGCAATTTTTAAGCTTCTTTACAGACAAATTCCGGGTATCTCAGTAAAACATATAAATCAACTCCACAATAATCAAGAACATACAAAGTTAATCATCAAACTTCAGCTCCTTTCAGAATTCGCTATTTTTCCTAAACTTAATGTGATCAGGAATCTTAAACTTATAAACCAATATATCCTTTGGTTTAACTTGAGAAATCCACTCATCTTTATAAGCACCTGCAGATTTTTCTGTGAATTCACTGTAGTTACTGCTGTTCTGTTGTGTTCATGCATCTTATTGAAGTGATTTCCTGACAGCAACATTTAATATCAGATCACAGACTGGCCCACTTCACTTTTGTTTACCTCTTCCAGGTCATTGTGTAGTCATCATGGGGCAGTAGGAAATGTAAAGTCTATCACATTTCAGCTCTTCAGGCTTCACTTGCAACCAGTGCCATTTAATAACTCACTGCCTTGGGTGAGACAAATGTTGTTGCTGTTCCCAAACCCTGCGTACAACCTACATCCCTTTAATTCTGAGCTATTGAAATATCTCCTTTTAAACCTACAAAATTAATTTGGGAACTTCACAACCTATTTGCTGATCACCAATAGACCTTGGAAACTTCTTTGAGCTGATATGTAAAATATGACATTCAATGATATTAAACTTCAAATGATTTTATCTGAATAGTTATGTGAATTGAAAAACAGTATTAAAATGGCTTCACAAGAAATTATGTGGAAGTTTTAACATCAACCAACATTAAGTATTTTCGTTCCCAAATATTTTTGCAAAGTCAATTAAAAAGTGCTTTTTAAAAACAAAAAATCCTAAAAGCATTGAAACTACCCTAATAACTGCATGATGATCTGACGACCCATTTTGCTCTAAGCCCTTTTGGTAATTTACGCAAATGTTTTACCCAGAGTATGGAATTATTTTACTATGGAGTAACATGTGAAAATCACAGGCAGGTACAGGTCAGTTTGTCAATCAAACTTGCCCCATAATCTCAATGTTCACAGGATCTTGACATGATGCTTCCTATGTCCTCAGTACATAATATGGAGACATGTTGAAGGTGGCTTAATAGGAATAAGAGAAAGAGGCAATTTATAACAAGAATCTGGGACCCAAAGGGCTTGATTAACTGAATATAATTTGAGTTATAATTTCCGAGTTGCCGTAACCATTGGTTGTAGGCACTTGTTTTTAAAATGGGTGCACACTCAAGTATATAATTGCAAAATTTAAAATCAGTGGCATTCGGGGTAAATCTCTCACTGGTTGGAGTCATACCCAGCAAAAAGAAAATTCGGTGTGGTTATTGGAAGCCAATCATCTTAGGCCTTGGCATTACTGCAGGAGATCTTCAGGGTCCCAAATCCAGCTATCTTAAGCTGCTTTATCAAAGATGTTGCATCACAATGTTCAGCACCACTTGTGGCAGAACCTGGTCAACACTTGGGCTTGGTCTTATCATGACGTAACAAGCAACATTCATGCCACACAAGTGTGAGCGAATGGCCATTTCGAATAACAAACAAACTAACTCTACTGATATTTTGGTGTTGAGAGTTCATACTGCCATTAAACATCATTGAATTATATTACTCTATGATTCCATGATATTTAATCACAGTACTAACCATCAACAACATACTTTTGGCAAGCAGGGGCACCCTTGACCAGAAACTTAATTATAAGAGCCAGATGAATAAGCTGTCTTTAAGAAAAGTCAGAGTTAAGGCTTTTTAAAAAATATATTTGATCATGAGATTTGGGCATCACCCATCCCAAACTGCTCAGGAGAGGGTGGTGACAACTTGCCTTCTTGAACCACTACATGTAGGCCAGACCAGGTAAGAATGGTAGATTTCCTTCCCACATTGGTGAATCAGATGGGTCACCATTAGGCCAACTTTTAATTCCAGAAATGTTTTGTTTTAAATTCAAATTTCATCACATACCATGGTGGGATTTGAACTCATATCCCTAGAAAATTAGCCTGAGGTTCTGGATTACAAATCCAGTGACATTACCACTAAACTACCACTTCTACTGTTTCTGATGAAGAATTCACATCCCGTCTCCATAAAACTTGTTCACTATCTCCAAGACAGGAACATTTTCATTTTCTTTCACGAGATGGGAGTGCTGCTGGCTCAACCAGCACACTGCGAAACTTGAAAGTGTTTTGAAAAGACTTACAATGTTGCTGCCCGGGTTAGAGGCTTTGAGCTCTCGGGAGAGGATGGGGCTATTACCCCTGGAGCATCAGAGGCTGAGGGGTGACCTTGGAGGTTTATAAAATCTTGAGGGGCATGGATAGGGTGAATGGCCAAAGTCTTTTTCCCAAGGTAGGGGAGTCCAAAACTAGAGGACGTAGGTTTAAGGTGAAAGGGGAAAGATTTAAAAGCAACCTAAGGGGCAACTTTTTCACGCAGAGGGTGGTGCATGTACGGGATGAGCTGCTACAGGAAGTGGTAGAGGCTGGCACAATTACAACATTTAAAAGGTACCTGGCCGGGTATATGAACTTAGAGGATTAAGGGCCAATGGCTGGCAAATGGCATTAGATTAATTTAGGATATCTTGTCATCATGGACGAGTTGAGCCTAAGGGTCAGATTCTGTGCTATAACATCTCCATGACTATGATTATATTGCCCATCTCCTGATGCCCTGGAGATGGTGATAGTGAGTCATGTTCTCAAACTGCTGCAACTCATTTACAGTAGGTACATCCACAGCTATTAGGAAGTGAATTCCAGAATTTTGATCCCACAACAATTAAAGAATGAAGGAATTATTTGAGGTCAGGATGACAAGCAGCTTGAAGGGAAACTTGCAAGTAGTGGTGTTCCCATGCATCCACAGCCCTAGTCCTTCTAGACTGTAGAGGTCACAGATTTAGAAGGTGCTACTGAAGCAGCCTTGGTGATTATGGTTCCTGAAATACTCAAGAAAGCTTACGCAATCCAGGAGGAAGCAGCCAGCTTGATCAGCACTCATCCACATTAAGCATTCACTCCTTCCGCCACAGGCGCATAATTGCAGCAACACTGATCGAAAACGTGATGGACTGCAGCAACTCACTGAGCTTCCACTAAAAGCATTTTCCACATCCGCTATCTCACACACCACTATCTGCAAGTTCCCTTTCAAGCCACTTGAAAATACAATCCCTGCTCCTTCACCAAATCCTAGAACTTTCTCCGGTACAGTACAGTTTTTCTACACCAGACAGAGTCCAGTGGTTCAAGAAGATGGTTTGCTACCAGCTTCTCAAAGGCAATTAGGGACTTGCAGTAAATGCAGGCATTGCAATGATACTCACATCCCATGAACAATTGGAGAAATGTATTGTATATTAAATAAGCTATGAACACTTGGTATCGCTGTTTCATGAGCCTCACTCATATCAAGGAATAGACAGAAATTTAAATCACAAATTAAAATAATTCTTGAAATAGGTGGAGTGAGGAATTCTTCTAAAGAATATGGGCCTGTTTTACTGCACCTGTGCAATCTTCACCTACTCGTTGAAATTTCACTCAATGTCCACAAATGTGAACAAATGACAAGTTACGTAGCTGAAATATTTTAGCAAAAAGATCAATGACAAAGGGTTTACTTACCATAGTAGAAAGTTGGCAGCCTGTGTAGAATCACAGAAGTCAATACCCATTGAAGCAGTCTTTGATGTTCCAGGATGAAGGCACTCTGAAATAAGAAAAAATATTTATGTATTCTGCAGATATGGTAAGAAGACCATTTCTAATTACTATTCCAATGGCACAGAAATTACAAGTTGAATGGCCTCCTTTTGTGCAGTAATATTCTAAGATTCCAACACAACAATGACGAAGGCTCAATCTTTTTAGAAAATTAAAGTGTACTTTTTTTCATGTTTCAGAACTTTCTCTGCGTTTCCTGTTCCAATAGAAATGGGGACGACTGTAGGTCCACCAAGTCTGCTCCACTGTTCAGGATCATGACTGATCTGATTTTGTTCTCAACTTCACCTTCCTGCCTGGCCCTCAAATCCTTAACACCTCAAACAAAAATCTCAACTTTGACTAAATTCAATGAGCCAACCCTCACTGCTTTCTGTCGAATATAATTCCAAAAGCAAAGGATCCTCAGAGAAGAAACTCCCCATCTGTCTTAACTGGGAGATCCATTGTTTAAAATTCTCCCATGAGTGGAAACATCCTTTCAACATCTACTGGTGCAGTCCCATATGTTTCAATAAGACACGCACTCATTCCTCCAGGCCCAACCTATTCTTCCATTATCGTAAGACCATCCCTTCATTCCAGGAATCAGCATACGAAACCTTCTCTGAACTGTTACCGATGCAAGCAATCCTGTCTTTAACTGAGAATACCAGAACTGTCCACACGAACTCCAGGTGTGGTCTTATCAATACCCTCTACAGTTGTAGAAAACCCTTCCTACTTCTATAATCCATGTTGCTTGTAATAATTTCATTTCCCTTCTCAATTACTTGCTGCACTTGCATGGTATCTTTCTGATTCATGTACAAGGACGCCTAGATCCCTCTGCACTGCAGCATCCTGCAAACTTGCCCCATTTACATTACCTGTATTTTTATTCTTCCTAAAGTGGACAAATTCAAAGGTTTTCCACATTACACACCAGCTGCCAAATTTTCACATCCTCACTTAGAAGTTACCTACATCTCTTCACACTTCTCTGCAACCTTGCTTTCCTCCTTTAGCTCTGCATCATCAGTATTATCCAAGTGATCATTCACATGGCTACAAAGATGCTGAGGTCATTTCTAACAGGCCTTCCACTGTTCCCCCTCTCCTCCTTTTCTACTACATCCCTATCAACCCAACAACCACAGCACTATACCAGCGCAGGGCAGAAATTGGTGAGCTTTTGGTCTGTTATGTCCCAACACCTTGTCATCTTAATCAAAGCCGAGGGAAATTGTAAATGAAATCTCTTCTTTGCAATTTTGGTTTTTAATCAAAATGTTGGACTTCTATAACATTATTCACACTTGCTATGCTTCAGGATTACGATAAATGCCATTTCTAAAATGTTAACAACAGAGCTGACTACAGAGCAATTATTTGAACTCTGTTGTTCAGGAAAACTACGAAGTAGATAGCAGATACTACCTTATCAGCAAAGGATACTAAATGAGTATTTTGCATCAGTATTTACTGTGGAGAAAGATATAGAAGTTATAGAACATTAGGAAATAAATAGGGAATATTGAAATATGCTCATAATACAGAGATGGTGGTGCTGGACGTCTTAAAACACACAAAGGTAGATAAATCCCCAGGACCTGATCAGGTGTACCCTAGAAATCTGTGGGAAGCTAGGGAAGTGATTGCTGGGCCTCTTGCTGAGATTTTTTTTAATCATTGATAGCCACAGGTGAGGTGCCAGAAGACTGGGAGGTTGGCTAACGTGGCGCCACTATTCAAAAAAGGTGACAAGGAAAAGCCAGGGAACTACAGACTGGTGAACCATCAGTGGTGGGCAAGCTGTTGGAGGGAATTCTGAGGGATAGGATTTACATGTATTTGGAAAGACAAGGACTGATTAGGGATAGTCAACATAGCTTTACGCGTGTCCCATTAACTTAATTGAGTTTTTTGAAGTAGTAACTAAGAGGATTGATGAGGGCAGAGCGGTGGACGTGATCAATATGGACTTCAGCAAGGCGTTTGACAAGGCTCCGCGTGGTACACTGGTTAGTATGGAATACAGGGAGAACTAGTCATTTGGATACCAAGCTGGCTCAAAAGTAGAAGATAGAGGATGGTGGTGAAAGATTGCTTTTCAGACTAGAGGCCTGTGCCACAAGGATCGGTACTGGGTCCACTGCTTCTCATCATTTATATAAATGATTCGGATGCGAACATGGGAGGTACAGCAAGTATGTTTGCAGATGACACCAAAATTGGAGGTGTAGTGGACAGCAAAAGTTACCTTAGAGTACAACAGGACCTTGATCAGATGGGCCAATGGGCCCAGGAGTGTCAGATGAAGTTTAATTTAAAATAATGTGAGGTGCTGCATATTGGAAAGGTAAATCAGGGCAGGACTTATACACTTGATGGTAAGGTCCTGGAGAGTGCTGCTGAACAAAGAGACCTTGGAGTGCAGATTCATAGTTCCTTGAAAGTGGAGTGGCAGTTAGACAGGATAGGCGTTTGGTATGCTTGCTTTTATTGATCAGTGTATTGAGTATAGGAATTGGGTGGACATGTCGAGGCTGGGCCAATTTTGACCTTCCTGCCAAAGGAAGGGTGTTGTGAAACTAGAAAGGATTCAGAAAAGACTTACAAGGATGTTGCCAGGATTGGAGGGTTTGAGCTATAGGGAAAGGCTGAATAGGCTGGGGCTATTTTTCCTGGACCTTCAGAAGCTGAGGGGTGACCTTATAGATGTTTATAAAATCATGAGGAGCATGGACAGGATAAATAGACAAGGTCTTTTCCCTCAGGTGGGGGAGTCCAAAACTAGAGGGCATAGGTTTAAGGTGAGAGGGGAAAGATTTAAAAAGGGACCCAAGGGGCAACTTTTTCATACAGGGTCATGCATGTATGGAATCTGCTGCCAGAGGAAATGGTGGAGGATGCTACAATGACAACATTTAAAAGGCATCTGGATGGGTATATAAATAGGAAAGGTTTAGGGGGATTCAGGCCAAATAATAGCAAATGGGACTAGATTTATTTAGGATATCTGGTTGGCATGGACACGTTGGACCAAAGGGTTTGTTTCTGTGCTGTACATCTCTGACTCGAAAACACAAAGTAAAAAATGAAGGCACAGAACAAAACTATAGATTTATCACATCACCAATAGTAATCTCAGTTCCTTATAAAAGGCTGCAAGCATAGGTCTAATGGTTTTACAGTTATTAAAAAAAGTGGACCCCACAACAAGCATCAAGAAAAGATGGAATGTAACCAAATGTAAAGCAGGAATTTGTAATACCAATGTTGTACTTCATTACCTATTTCATAGAAATCATGTATGCGCATCCCTGATGCGAGCTTCTGTTCTCCTATTCGAATGTTCCTGATTTCTTTATCCGAGTTATTGGTTAATATGATCTGAACAGAAACCATTTTTGAATTGTAAATACATGGCTGACGTGGAAAGTGATACTCTGCTCCGAGGCCTTTTCCAGACATCCGATGAAGTAGCGTATACGATTTTGGAGGAACAAACACTGGAGTGGCCACCTAAACAGCAAAAAAGCAGTCACTGAAATAGTTCAAACAGTAATGCACAACACTGAAAATTGTATTATTTTGCTTACAATCATTCTGAATTAGAACTGGGTCTAATTTATTGCATTTCCCAAGCAGTTAAATTGAAAAGAAAATCTGTTTTCCTGATTCCTCCTATCCCAAACTTAAACTCTGCATCATCAATGTTGAAGAAGTGTGTATGACCTTTCATAAAGTGTTTGATAAAGAGCCACGTAACAGATTAGCTGGAAATTCAACTCCAAGGAATTAAAGGGAGAGCAGCAGCACAGATACAAAATTGGTTAAGAGGTAGAAAGAAGGTAGTAGTGAATAATTGTTTTTCAGGTTGCTTGGAAGTATAAATTATGTCTTTCAAGAGCAGTATTAGGACAATTGACCTTGTACATATGTATAAATGATTTGAATTGGGTCTAGGGGCAGCAATTTTAAAATCTGCAGATGACACAAGGCTTGGAAATAAAGAAAACAATGAGGGGTATATTAGCAGACCTCAGGAGGACACACTGGCGAAACGGATAGATGGTGGATGAAATTTAATGCAAGAGGTGTAAAGCAATACTGTGATGCACTGTAAAAGAAATTCAATATAGATAGATGGTATAACTTCAAACGATTTGTAGAAAGAGACATCAAGGGTTTCACATGTTCAAAGTTTTGAAGGTGATAGAAGGAGTTGGCAAGATTTTGAAAAATATTTGATCCTTGGCTGTATCAATTGAGGCAGAGTGTTCAAAAGAAAATATGTTACACCAAACCTTTATCTGAAGCCTAATCAGTGATGTTCAGACTGTTGTGTCCAATTTACAGCACTACAGCTTAAGAAGAAAGTCAAGGACTTAGAGGAGAGTTACCAGAAATATTAAAAATTAATGATTTCAGTTGTATGGAAAGAATCTGACAACTTTTCCTTAAGGCAAAGATAGCCAAGAGAAAGATTTAAGAGGTATTCAGGGGTTTTGAGAGAGGATAAGGAACAATGGTTGCCACTAGCCAAAGTCACAGATTTAAGATCATTTGCAAAAAATATTGGCATGCAGCAGGGAAGAAGTCCATGTATTCTTGCTAAGCAGTGAGTTAATATACTGGATCAAATTGGATATGTACTTGTAAGGGAGAAATTGACTAAGTTATGCATGAAGGATTCAAGAGTGGGGTGACTTGGATGGTTCTTCCAATAATCTATGATTTTCCAAATCCATGATTTGGCAATGTGTTTAAATAGCTGTAAACAAACATAGAGACAAAGTGTCATATTGTTGCAGTTTTTTAAAAAATATTTTGTCATTTCCCAGATGTGGACAGTTTACCCGCTCACCAGACTCTCAAAGCCATTCAGTAGCAAAAGAAATAACTTGAAACAAATTCTGATTGTTCCCTTATAACAAAAATTCCTCCCTAAAAAATTCACAGCTTACAATCAAAATCCTATCAACAAATAAAATACACATTCTGCTGCAGTTTCATCTAAGCAACAGTTCAGTGTGCAGTCATTATTTTTGTGATTCATTACTTCTGCTGTATAAAATACATGCAAATTTATTTGAGGAGTTTTAAAATGACAATACCTAGTTTACTTTCAAAGAGTGAACTATAATCTTTATAAAGTATTTTGCAATTCTGTCACGCAAAATCTAACCGCTGAAAGGATAATGCAAGTGCTCTTACTATTCAACTGCTGACCATATCATCATTCCTGGAATGTTTTGCGCAGAATGTTCTATGAAGAAAATCACAGGCTCAAAAGGCTTGATGCACTGAAAGGCCACTACAGACCATTCACATATTTCATCTGTTTATTGCGATAAGCAAATAGCCCGTGGAATGACAGCGCACATAACTGTCAAATGAGTAACACTTAGGTTTAGTGAAACATTTATATGGGCCTTTACCTCTCTTAGAAACAGACAGCATCTCTCAATGTCATCCAAGAGAAAAGTCTTACATTTTTAACACTTCACTAAAAAATAACTGAAGAGTGTAAAATGACAAATACCTTGTGCAGTTAGCTGGTAATGGACCATACTCTCAACTCATTTAGATTTATGCAATATAAACTTGTCACTAATAATTAATTTATGAGACAGCTGTTCCTAGAATCTTCCAAGTCTATCGTTACAAAAGCTCTTAAGCTATACCTTCAAAAACAGGAGGTGATTTCAAACCTTTTTTTAAAAGAAGTAAATAGACATATTTCTAATAATCTGAAAGCAAAGTAAAATCTTAAAAACAACAGGTAGCACAATGAACTAAATTAGGTTAACTGGAAATAATAGTACTGAATGCACATCTAAGCATCTCTGCAAATTGAAGGTTTTGTACTGCCTCCACATATGTTTTCAGGTAATGGTAACTTACAGTGCCTCTGTTTGTAAAGCACTTAGTGTCACTTGTAGTTACTCCAAGCAATAGTTCAAACAATTTGACTATTTTGTATGAAATAAAAATCTATTTGCAAGTTGCTGAGTTTTATGAGGTGACGCCATTGCTTCATTAATAATCAACAGTTCATTGTTCCAGTCATTTTTCACAGGGATTATACCTACAGCCGTCAAATGCAAGTGTTTAAAAGATAACTCCAAGACAGCTCAAGACATTACCTTGCAAACTTCCCTCACTGATACAAAGATGCCGATTCTCAAAATAACTTGAAACTAAAAAGAAGCAATTGGGATTTAATCCCTAATCTCATGACAGACGATGTTCTCATGCTTTCAAAGCAAATGTCATTGCCCTAATATGCAAAAGACTTACATATATCCCCAATCCCCAAATTCTCAATCTATTTATTTCATGATTACCAGGAAATTGCATTTTACCAGAAAGTTGCACAAATGCAATTTCCTCTAAAAAATAAAAATAATACACAGGTGAGCAGGTAATAATGCAAGCAAATGGAATTTTAGCATTTATCGCTGAAGGAAAGAGTCTAGAAGTAGGAAAATGTTGTTGCAACTTTTTAAGGCAGTGAGTTCACACCTGGTGTATTGCATACAATTTTGGTCCCCTTACTGAGAAGGGATATAGTTGCAATGCAGGCAGTTCAGGGGAGAATCACTAGATTGATTCGTGATGAGGGGAGTGTCCTCTGAAAAAAGACTGAGCAGTTTAGGCCCATACTCTCAGGAGTTTAGGAAAATGAGAGGAGATCTAATTGAGGTATGTAAGGTGCTAAGGGGGATTGACAAAGTAGACGTTGAGAAGATGTTTCCTCCAATGGAGCACTCTAGAATGAGAAGTCATAGTTTTTTGTAAAACTGCCATCCCTTATCCTAAGAGATGAGCAGAAATTACTTTTCTCAGGGTCATGAATCTGCAGAATTCACTACCCCAGAGAATGGTGGATGCTGGGACATGGAATAAATTTGTCAGATGGATTTTTAATAAATTATGGCTTAAGAGGTTATGGATAATGGGCAGGAAAGTAGAGTTGAGATGAGATCAGTCACGGGCAGCTTTGAGGAACTAAACTGTCTACCTTTGCTTCTATTTCATATAGTCTTACAGGTGTGTTATAAACATGTACAGGAGTGTTATAAACATGTACAGGAAATATGAAAATACCACATTGTATGACTTTAGAATGGGTTCTGAATACGGTTTGTATATCTCGATTTAAATTTTACCTCACCCTCTAACTTCACTTTCCAAAGATTAACCTTGGAAGGTCAACCACTAAGAATCAAAACGTGAAGTAGCAAACAAAATAACTTCTGGAATGCTAGCCTAAATAGTTTTCATATATGGATATCATGGGAAAAAAAAAGGTCAAAGATCCCCGCCAGAGGCCTCATTCTGCTGAAGAGGCATTTAACTGGAACAACATTTCCAACTGTTTCTGCTCAAAAACAGTTAGAAATATGCTTAGTAATTGGATCAAAGTTTGTGTGAACAGTCCACATCGTTGGTGTACGCCAGTGACTAAACATTTGTTCTTTTATTTCCCACTGTAAACCATTGCCTTTTTTTTGTGGCAACAGAAAATAGAAGACTGCTATAAGTGATGGTGTTTAATGGTCGCCACAGAGTGCACACAAAGGTATTTAAAGCTAGCAAAAGCCTACACAAACCAGCTAGGATACTTAAAAGTAACAACTCAATTTCTTCAAATATACCCTTTGCACAAAAAGAACAAAAAACTTACATGTAACTAAAAATGATAGTACAAGTTATGTAGGTCTCCAAATGTATATGAGCAGAAAGAAAAGGTCATTTATTAACGAACCATGTCAACTCTATTCAGTTCCACTTGCGTCACTCTGCACATGCATGATTTAAACACACTGATGCAATGTAAGTATCTTAAAGGTACATTTGTATGTTGTTATTGGCCATTTTTCTGGTGTCTGCTTGTTCCTGCAATAATATTCTCTCTCCATGGAATGCCATTCTTATGCTTTTGTGAAAGCGATTTTGCCATGTAAACTGTTGTTGCTAATCCATTTTTGTTGTTGAGCAACAGTGAACCTCTGGGACTGATTTGCACTTTGTGAGCTCACTTCTTCCTGCTGACTGCTTCTCTTGCTGTATTTCGACGTCTGTATGTAGCTGTGGTGGTGTATCTGGTCATTCACATTTAGAATGTATCAGAAGTGACAAAAGCTCCACACAGGTACCCAGTTACCACATGGGCTGATCGTTATTGAGAATGTTGAACCTTTACATCCTAACTGGCTTTCCAATGCTCAGCTCTGAAAATGACTTAGCAGTTCTATCAAAATCAAATTTAGAAGTTGTTTCACCTTCGCTTTGTTACTCAGACCGGCTTCAGTAGTTCTTGCTTTGCTTCCCTCCCCCCTCCCCCACCGCAAAGTTTGGGAGAATAGTTTGAATGCAGCACAACAAAATTAGGACAGGACCACACAAAGGCCAAAATTGCTGGAGAAACTCGGAAGGTCTGGCAGCATCTGTGGAGAGAAGAGAGTTGATGTTTCAAGCCCAATGACCCATCTTTTCAGGTCTTCAGGTGGTCC